CAAGAAATGAAAAAGTTTTTATTTTTACAATAAAATTGTAAAATGTAAAATATCCGAAACATGTACATAGAAATGATGGCAGGGTGGATGTTGAGAATGGCAGCGTCTAACCATGTAGTCCAGTTATACCCAAGGAGGCTTCCAAAAGTTTGTGGAAACTTCTATTACGTTTTAATTCCATGTTTGTGCATGTGCTCTTTAAAGCCCCCTCATGAACAAATGTAAACTTTTAAACACTATTTAAAATAGCCTATAATTAATTATTAAACCCCCCGCAAAGAACTTTGCTAAAATATGTGAAAAGTCTGTTGAAGAAAAACTACATTTCATTTCTTACCAAAATTCATGACAGGTTCAATGTGACCATTTAAAATGCACAAAAGGTAGGGCTACTGGCAAGGAAGGAGTTCATAGACTTACTTTAGTCCCTGATTTAGAATTTGAATGTTCTTTAGAAAAAGATGATCAGATTTTAACATTGGTAAAGCGGGACAAAAGCGGGACACTATTGATAAAACTCATATCCTGGCAAAACAGCTAAATGGCAGCTGAAAACCTTGTACCCTAGCTTGTCATGCATTCTTTCCAAAAATCAGGACTTTTTTAAAACACCGCGGGATGCGGGAAAAATTGTTAAAAATCGGGACTGTCCTGCCAAAAGTGGAATGTCTGGTCACCTTACTTTAGAAGCACAAGAAAGTAAATGCTCTTTAAAACTACTCACTCAGCATATTTTGCTATAGCAGCGTTGCTATTTGCACTACAGAAGAATTCACCCTACTAAAATTCAAACATTGGGCATCAAAAGATATAAAAGATGTAGAGAACAGCACTATTTGTATAAACCTCAATGAAACCAATCATATAGATGAATTAATTGCGGTTAATAATTCAGCAGAATCATGTTCAGCGGTGGAAATGAAAGAACAATCCCAACACTAAAGAGCACATAGTGTACATGACACAGAAATCCTACTCCAAAGTCCACACTCAACAGAATTGAAAGCAGGGACTCAAATAGACATTTGTACAGCTATAGGAATTGAAGCACTGTACACAACAGCAATGAAATAGAAACAAGTGAAGAATAGACAGATAATGACTGGTACGTTAATATAATAAAGTATGAGTCATAAAGATAAATGAAGTTCTGATAAATGCTACAAAATTTATGAAACTGGATAATAATATGCTGAATGAATAAGTCTGACCAAAAAGGACAAATATAGCGTGGTTACACTTAAATTATATCCTCAGGATAGGAGAAAAAAACAAACAAGGGTGCCAATGGAAGAAAGGAATGTGGAGTATGATTTAAGATCTACCAAGTTTTTATTTAAAAAGGCAAAACATTTGGAAATGCATAGTAGTGATGATTGCACAGCATGAGGAACTTAATTAATGTCACGTATTTGCACCTGCAAAAGTGGTTAACATGGTAAATGTTTTTTTAAATCCATTTTACCACACATAAAAATAAAGCATACTATATTCACTTTATAAAATATTCACAATGAGCCAAAATTCCTTGATGAAGATAAAAAACGGTGGTAGCATGGATGTTTGTAGGAGATTGCACTCTCTGTTGCCTCTGGGTTGCTGGGGGGAGCATTTCTAGATTTAGTTGGTGGCTCAGGATATGTTCATCTTATAAGAATTCATTAGGCTGTGTTGCTTTGTTTATGAATTATGTCTTATACAATAATTTGAAGATGCCAAGAATAATTACTGGGATTAATTTTTTTCCCCCAGACAAGTAATACTAGTTGAGTCAGGTAGTTTTTTGGATAGACCAAGTATGACTGTGATGAAGGATTTAAGGACTACTAGGACCTTTTAGTCATACTGTGGTGGCGTGTGTGTTTCTGTGATTCTGGAAGCTACGTCACTGGCATGTAAAATACTAGCAGGATCATTCTAGTGAACAGGTGTCAGCAGAGGTTCCAGATTAAGAAACGACTAGAAATAAGGAATGGGCTAGCCACTTCTGAAGAATTTGCCACTGAAAATCTTAAAAATAGCAGTGTAACATTGTCAGGCGCTGGAAAAATCATAAAGATCAACAGAACATTGTCAGCAGTATTACTGAAAGATGAGCCCCTCAGATAAAAAGGCGTTCACAATTTCACTGAGAGAAAGAGAGATGCCCTTTGAAAATGGAGTAAAGCCTGAGAAATTAAAGCCCTCAGGACCTTCATCTGTGATGAGGAATGACTCAACCAAGAAGAAACAGCTGCAGATATTTATGAATATTTGGAATGTATGAAGGATGAACCTAGAAAACCTGGAAGTCTTCAAAAATGAAATGGAATGCATAAAGATTGATATCCTGCTCATCAGTTGGCAAGAATGGAATAGTAATGGCCATTTAAAATCAGAAAAAAAACATATGGTTTGCTATCCCAGAGATGTAGATTAAAACAGAATTGCGTTGAATTCATCATAAAATAAGACATACCAAGATCTGTCTTGAAGTACCATGCTGTCTATGATAAAGTAATATCTAAACTCAGACAAAAAATGTAGTCAATGTGACTATTCTTCAAATTTATGCTCCAATCACTAAAGCTACTGATGAAGAATTTGAATCATTTTATTAATGTTTTCAATGTGAAACTAACCAAATAGGCAATCAAAGGGGTGTTGGTTACTAGTGGAGATAGGAATGCAAAATTTGGAAACAAAGAAGAAAGAAGGATAGTTGGAATATACGGTCTTGGTGCTAGAAACAAAGCTGAAGAATGCAGGATAGAATTTCGCAAGACCCATGACTTCCTCATGTCAAATACCCTTTTTCAATAACATAAAAGGTGATTATACACATGGATGTCTCCATAGAGAAATGAAGAAATAAAACGGACTCCATCTGTGGGACAAGATGATCAGCAGTTAAAAGGAGTCAAAGTGCTACCAGTGGAACACCATCAATTGCTCAAACGTGA